TCATTAGCACCTCTAGTAATATATTTACTGAGAAAAATGGTGACGTGTTCAATACTTCTTTTACCTGCTGTATCTAACCCAGTGTTTCCTATTTTTACTCTGTTTCCTTCAAACTGGAAGTTTTTTAGTTTTTTTTTTTAAATTATTTTTTGGTTTTGTTTTGTTTATGGAGATGACATATTTTACATGTCTCCTCATGTAAGCCTGAACCTTCAGGTTCTGAACACAGTAATAAACTTACTATTGTAACGGGTTTCTTCCTAGTGTCAGATCAGATCTGAACCCAAGTGAACACCTAACAAAGATTTTAAACCGATTTGACATGTATAGGGGTTTTGGGTATATTCTAAAATGGATAATTTATTTAAATATGCAAATTATCTTACCTCGAGGCACCACGCTCTTAATTTGATCAAAAACTAACCCAGGAAAGAGACGAAAACCTGTAACTTTATTGTAATCAGTCTCACAATAAATGTACCCAAAATCGTTTGATGAGTCCTTGTCCTTATCAGAACCAATAATACTTTATCAAGACACAAAAGTGACATTAACTTATGTTGGCACGTTCTCCACGGGCCATTTACTTACAGATTAAATGTATTTACAACTATGGTGAGTAAGAAGTGATGACATGTTGAACTAGGTAAAACTGACAGGGTTTGCAATTACAAGTGAATAAACAAGCAAACAAACAAATAAAATAAACACTGAGAGGTGAGTTTGAGGCTTGGAATGAGGTGAGGTGAGTTTTGCTTTTAGCTGGTTTTCAACTAAGGGGGTCCTAGTTAAATTAGGGAGAAAAATCATTTAGTTTATCAAATCTCATACAAAGATAAGAATCAAATTACGTCTGAGCACCTGTTTGTCACCAGGACAAATGTTCACTTTTACCCTTTTGTTCTGCTGATTTCGGTACCAGAAGTAGTCGTCGGCTGACCGAAGGATCTTAGGTGATGTTCCCCAAAGAACTGCTTCAGCCTGTCGGACACTGAGGGTGTCTGTTCAGCTGCTGGCCATTCAGTCAGAAAGGTGGGTGGTGAGCTGGTGACAACGGGATCCGGTCCTCCCAAGCAGCTGCAAGACTTATTAATTTGATTTCAACTTTGTAGAGAAAAACAAACTAAAAACGACGCATGAATTACAATTAGCTTATTTAACTTCTATAAAATCAAACTCAGATGTTGAGTCGATATTAAACGTTGGCTGTTCCTTCAACCCAGCGGGAGATGCAGAAGGACCACCATCCTGCCCAGCCCATGGGGAGGGACTGGCAGGAAGGGCCTCTGGAAAGCTGTTTCTGGCTTCTGATGAAAAACTCTCTTTCTCTGTCTTCTTCTTCGTCTTCTGCTAAGAGATTGGGAGTGCGCTAAGCTTTTTAAAACCTCTGTTATGGGCGGAGTCAAGATTTTACTTGGCCAATAAAAATGTTACACCTTATACAGGAAAAGTTTTTTTAACAAATCAAATCTGTTTTGGAGGGAAAACTTCACTTCAGGACAAAGAAAAAGGGAATGTTTTAGTTTAATTATCTTGCATCAAATTAAAAGGGAGAGGCATCTGCTTGCCTCAGTAAAATAAGAGTGTCACACTTAATTATTAAAGATTCAAGTCCAAAAGTTTCTAAGGATTAAATCATGGAATAAAACACAAATCTTCTTCAGGAAAACATTTCATCAAAACAACACCACAATACACAGCTATTGAATAGTTAACTAAGCAAAACTTAGTAGATCCTTTATGGTCTTTTTAGTTTCCTGTAAGAAAAATGGATTCGATGACATTCTTTGCAATAAGACAGAAAACATTAGATACACAGATTCCTTTATCTTTTCTCCTTTTTTCACATTTAATGAAGAATGTAGGTCCTTTGTTGTCAGTCACTGAAGAGTCTGGTTAAAGACATTTATGATCCCTTTGAAGAGGAGCGAACAGACAGTCCTGTGCTTATGGGGGATGGAAGCAACAGAACTTGTGGGGTTCGGAACAGGGATGTGGCARTTCTTATCTATTAACAGTAAGGCGTCAGGACGTCTGGTGGGGGTTTGTGTAAGAGATGTTAATTCGAGCCACAAAGGAAGTTCCATGCAAAAGTCTTTAGAAATAGTCTTTAAAGTGGGGATTTTCTTCCTCTTTGAGCCGTTGTCATAGGAACAAGTGAAATCTAATCAGAAATGATTATTTATATGCAGGAAAATGCTACACAGGACTTGAGGAAAACTCTTTTTTGGCATAATCATGTTTACTCCAGAGTRGAGGGAGTTATTTATTTAAATAAAATGTCCTTCGGAGGCTTCGACAGCAAGCAAGAGGTTCAAAATATCACATACTGTTGGTTCTTTTTGGTCACAGATCTGTTCGGAAACATAAATGTCAGTTTTAGTTTTCTTTATCAAGCATTAAAGCATTTGCAGCAAGTGCTGCAGATCCACTGTGAAAATTGCAGTCATTGAGTAGTTTTGTAGAAAAGGCTAACCTTGTGAGTTGCTGTCTTGAATGGGGCTTTTTTTTTATTGTATATGTTTTGTTATAAAACTCTGAATGTAAACGCTGGCACAAATAGATGAAATAAAATAAACATGTACATAACCATGACTAAATGAAATAAAGCTTCTATTTTTCTAAAAACCAAAGCTAAAGCAGAATAAAAATGAGAAATTCATGAAAACTGTGAAAAAAAGTCACTTTCCTCTCTTTTAGTTGGATCATTTATATGTACATGTTGGTAATACAAACTATAAGGTAACTTAGATTTAAAATTGACATTTTAAATAATTACTGCAATGTGAAATTTTACACAAAAGATAGTTTTTAGCAGTTTGGGACAAAGCTATAATCCATAAAAAAGAAAGCCGCAACTGCAAACTGAACTTAGAACCAAAACACTCAAAATCCTTTCTCTTCATGAATGAAGAGGGGAAAACTCTCAAGTATGCTCCAGTCTAATTACATCTGGCAAGTGTGATCAATAATTCAGTGTTCTGTGTTAATCCACTGCAATATTATTTTCTAAACATGATGTCCCAGTGGCTTTCAAACCCCAAAACACATTACGGCAAAGGCTGGTTCACCAAAGATCCGGTGCCTCGGCACAGAGCAATGTTGTATATGCTGTTAAGTGCCAGGAGGACTGCGACCAGTTGTACATCGGGGAAACAAAGCAACCACTGTTCAAAAGAATGTCCCAACACAGACGAGCTACATCTAATGGCCAGAACTCTGCAGTTTTCACTCATTTACAGGCCAGCGGTCACTCTTTCAGAGATGAGGATGTTCTCATTCTTGATAGAGAGGAACGTTGGTTTGAGAGAGGAGTAAAAGAAGCCATTTTTGTAAAGAAAGACCATCCATCATTAAACAGAGGTGGAGGCCTCCGTTTTCAGTTGTCCCCCTCCTACAGTGCTGCTATTGCCAGTATCACTCCACCCCGTTAACAATAGGTGTTAATTAGGTGTCAACGATAGCCATGTGATGTGAATATCAGTCACATGGAGGCGGGACTTAAAAGCCTGAATTTTGCCTGAAACTCTCAGACTGAAGAAGTCTCTTGGAGGAGAGACGAAACGTTTCATTAGAGAAGAACCCGTCCAGAAGACCTATACWATTTTTTTCTTTTTTACTGCAATATTAGGTTTTGTCATCTCAACAGATGGAAAAATATAACAAACAGAAAAGCATCACAGAAGGGTTTGGAAACACAAATGGTTCTTCACTCTGCAGTTTTATTTTTTCCTTTTTTTATTTTTTTCAAATGGCAACAAAAACTTGACTTTTTACAATAAAACCCAAAACTATAGAATCAACAATTTGCTAAAAAAAAGAAGAAAAGAAAAGAAAGAAGTACTTCAGTCTTTCAGTTCTTTGAAGAGGATATTCAAGTCTCAGCAGGCACTTTTATTTTTTTTCTGTCTACAGAAACTCAGCTCTGAAAAGCAAAAACCTTCAAACATTCATTCTTGCCGTTTCCCTCCTTGATGCTATGCGATCAGAGGTATATGGAAGTCTGTGCTGTCGAAGAGAAGCGGCCTGGTGACAGGAGTGGGAACTCTGTCGGCTTTGTGAAGGAGCTTAAACAGTCCTGTTCCAATATTCATGGGAATCCCCATAATGATGCATTCAGACACCCCTGAAACAGGAATAAAGACAAGTTAGCTCTTAAAAAAGTTATAAAGAGGAAAAGTTACTGTCCTGGAAAAGATGAAGCTGAAGTTTACCGCAGACAGAGTCCTTTTGTCCAAAGTAGGCAGCATCAAAGAGGTGGTCGGCTGTTTTCTCAAAAGAAGCCAGCATGAGGACACTTTCCTTCATTTTGGCCAAACCAAATCTGGTGATTCCAAGGATCTCTCCCTTTAAGGACAGGTATTATTAAATTAAATACCACAATAGAACACAGGAATATAGTGAGTTTATAGACCAAAGCTTGTACCTTGTAGGACATGAGATCTGCGAGGAGCATGACGTGACGCCGGTCGATGCTCATGCCGTGGTTGACCATGGTGTACTGAATCTCATTAATGATGGTGGATCTGGCAGCTTCAATACCCAAAGTCTTCTCAACCTGGATTATATTACACCAACACGTGTGATCAAATTATTTCCTATCCAGCTGGGGACTGCATTTGTAAAATAATCACTCTCTTCAAGTGTATCAAGCCACCAGTTGATATTTGATTGTTTATAAACACCCAGTAGGGGGCTGGATTTGAAAACACAAGATTCTTTATAGCAAATAAAATACTTAATTGGCTGCCAAACTTCACAAACACGGCTAAATATTCAGCACAGCGGTGACAATAAAGCCCCTGCGGGCCATTATTTTCTGTAAATCACGGACAAAAAGCACGGGTCATGAACAACCTTTGGGTTGCCAGAGCAAAGAGAAACATGAGCTCAGTGAATGGATTGGTCCTGATGAAGCAGAAAACACCACTGAGCTCATTTGGTTTAAACCTGTAACCTGATATGGATTTAAATGTGGTCTTTCCGTAAGTTTATATGTTTGAACATGTTTTTTTTTTATTAAATTACTGAAAAAAGTAAACAAAGAGTTGTGACTCATACCTCATACGTGTTGTTAGAAGTGGTGCGACTCCCATTGACGCCGTGCGTTGCCATGACGGCTCTCATGTTGTCGCCCTCCACCAAGAGTTTGTACTTGTTCTTTCCACTCTGTTCGTCAATGTGAATGACGGCCCGTGCGACCTCGGGGATTCCCTGGACCACCACCTTCCAGGTGCGAAATAAAAAGAGTTAAATGTAAAAAAAAAAAGAACACACACTGGTGGGGAATCTTTGTGTAAATTGTGATTTCAGCTTAAAAGCAAACAAACGCCACTTCCTGTCTTTAGAAGGCAAGCTGCACCATTTTCAAAAATCTGTAGCTTTGAGCATCAATAACAACCAGTTAGTTAATTTAGTAAAGAATTAACCAGTGGTGGGTACAGTTATGCTAATCCACTAGTAGCAGAACTAGCTTCTGTTTGTGCAGGTTTAGCTTTTTTGAGTACATTGGACTGATTAGTTTCTGCCAAATTAGGCTCCACTAATTTTAAGTCCACTAAAAATTCGTAAGTGTTAAACTTCTATTTTTATGCTATTTATCCAAATTAAATAAAAACTATGCCCTCATTACAAGCAGTGTCAGGCATGTAGCAACTTGAGCAGCTAAACTTCAAACTAAGAGCATCAAAAAACTAAAATAAAATTTTAAATAACGAATACAAAATTTGATTGCATATATAAAAATGGTAGAGAAATTATTCTTCAAAACAGTATTTATAAAAATACAAACTCGATAAAAGAATGTTGTTTTTCTGAAAGGGGTAAACTGGAAGACGTTAGACAGAGCTATAACTCTGGTTTGGATTGGCTGATTTGCCACAGATGATCTCGCCCACCTTTAAATTAAACCAATAGAAAACAAACAACAGGTTTGTGTTGGTCCCACCAGTCTTCAACTGGAAGGTGATGATGTATGACGCAGACTGACAGTCGTCTTAGCTGTTAGCGTTAGCTTTTACTCATTTTTTTATCTGTTTTGTGGATTAGCGTTAGCAAAGCTAAGATTTTTGTTAGTGGATTCGTGGTTAGTGAACCTAACTTTCTGGTTGGCTCTGCCCACCACTGCAATTGCCTTAATTATAAGACAGACAAAATATTTTTTTAACCATTTTCACAGGAGAAATAGATTTCTTTATCGTCACTAGATCTTTACCTTGGGAAGTTCTTCTTTTAATGACTGCAGCACATAGTACATGGAGCTTTTGCTGTTCTCTTGTGGAGACACACAGACCACTGCCTCACCGTGCACGGCGATGTTGGCGGGCTTCACCCGGAGTTTAGACATGCATATAGAGTAGCGCACCGTTTCTGCATTCACCTGATATGTGTTGGGGGGGGGGAACATGTTTTACATTTTCAATAACAAAAACATAAAAACTTTAGATTTAAAAAAAGCCATACCTCTAAACGCAGCAGCCTAATTCTCTCCAGAGACAATTTCACAAGGATGAAGCAGTCGTCTGGAAGAAAAACTTCTTCAATGTACTCTGAAATCTGTTGAGGACAGACAGAAAACTTGACATTATTACTGAAATAGCTCATGTCTCACATGGTTCCTCTTTTTGAAATCACTGACGCCTGTCAGCTATTTTCCCCAACGTAATAGCTTTCACTTATTGAATAAAGTAGGAATACCTCTCCAAGTAGGGTTTTTTCAATCCTTCCCTTGACCAGCCTGGCGAAGTCGGCATCGTCTTCAACGTCCAAATGAGCCGTGATTATAGGGGTGCTGAGCGGAAAGCAGAGGGCTCTCAGATTATTCAAAACAAATTAGAGACGTGTTCAACACTGTGACAGACAGACTTTAATGTGGTCCAGCAAAGCTCATTCTGCTAAATGCACTAATTCAGTTTCTAAGGCATGGACTTGGGAAAATAAGAAACATTAAGTAAAAAGTTGCGTAGGCACTTTAGAGCTGCGATGTCTGGCARCAAACGTCGAACACAAAAACTGCTTTTATTTGTTCAATACAAGGTCATCTTTGAGCCCTTTCGCAGCGGTGAATCACAGCAAATTCCCCGAGACGTCGTGACAAAGACAGGAGTCATCTTTTCTCTTCTAATCAAAAGACATCATAATACATTTTCTCTGTCATGGGAGACCTTATGTTCTTGGAGGCGTTGATGATTTCCTTGATGCGAGGGACTCCCAGAGTGATATTCATTGATGCCACACCAGCGAAGTGGAAAGTTTTCAGCGTCATTTGAGTACCAGGCTCTCCGATGCTCTGAGCGCACAGGGCCCCTACGGCCGAGCCCGGCTCCATCTGGGCTCTAAGACAGAAAAACATTAAAAAAATTACAAAAAATTGAATAAAACAACAGCCAATGAATAAAAATATGCCTCAGTTCAGATTAGCTATGCAACATTTGTGATGAGTTCTGTGGAAAATAAAACTGGACATGAAATCATACCTCATGTACTTGTCTCTGCAGGTTTCAAGAAACTTCTCCAGCTGAGTTGGAGTAATGCGGTCCAGTTGATAAAGAACTATTGGCTGCAAAACCAAGCCATAAAAAATGTCTCAGTTTAGATTTGTACTCTAGCTAGAATTGATGATTAGTAGGGCTGGGTATCACGGCCAATTCTCTAACTTGATTTGATTTATATTCATAAGGTTCTGAATCGATTAATCACAATTCAATTCGATCTGCTCTGAAATAATGAAAATGGTTCAACTGTGTTGCAAAATACAATATCACTTTATTTTTTCTCTTCACCATAAACAACAGGTTTTAAGCACAAACTTGTTAATTATACGATTTTATCTTAAAAGAAAATGATCACAAGTTTAAAAAGTTTTAAATTAAAAAGGAATTGCAGGTGACAGTGTTGTTGGATGCATTCATTTTTGAGAAATTAATATTTTTGATGAATAAGAACTGATGGAATAAGGTTGTAGGAGAAAAGTTGGACTAATGTAAGTACACTTCTGCCCACTCCTTTTGAGTGTCCGAAAATTGTTTATTTCTAATGTTTCTGTTACCTTCTGTTTTGTTCAATAAAACTTCTGATTAACACAAAAAAGAAATAATGACACAACTACAATATTTCATTACTGTGGATTTCATTAAGACGTTTCTTAAAGTTTAAAAACAATAATATTGGTAACAAAACTAAACGATTTTGTGAGAATGTCATCTTTTACACATTAATACATGTCAGGGAGAACAGTTTCAGTCAAATGTTTACATACTGTTTTGGTTTGAGTCGGCTGGTAATGTTAGTGATTCCTTGGTTTCTTTTGTTTTGCCCCAGACAACTTGTCAGAAGCTAACAATAGCACTGAACGTCAACCAGATGTAAACATACGGCAAGCCAGGAGTGACACAAAATATAGAAAAACGCACGCATAAGATGACGTGGGGAAAAATCCATCTCATGCCCTGTGAATCAATTTGCCCAAATTTAAATGAAATCGATCCAAGATTGATTAAATTAATTGTTTTTAACCCAGCCCTAATGATTGGCACACAAATACGTTTCCTACCTCAGTAGTGCCGTTATCATTGATGCCGTATTTGTCTCTGGTCTTCTTGATTCTTTCGGACATGGTCGTTATGAACTTCTTTATCTCCTGAAAGGTGATGGAAGAGATTAAACGTCACCAACTTATTCTAAACTCTCATTACTATTTATACTATAAAACGGTTTTACAACATGACAAAGTTCCATGCAGTTGTTAGACATTGCAAACATAAAATAAAAATATAATATGCATTAAATACACACTGTAAAAAATGAAATGTTGGATTTACTTAACCATGTTACCTGGTTCCACTTAACTGAGTTGAGTAAATTCAAAGCAATATACCAGTTTTTTAGCCAAAGAACATGAGTATGTTGCTTTGAATGTACTCAACTCAGTTAAGTGGAACCAGGTAACATTACATGGTTAAGTAAATCCAACATTTCATTTTTAGAGTGCAGCTAGAGGTTTGTGTCGTTGGGGGGCAGGGGGAGTTGAGGTGGAGGGGTTTTAAAATGCAAATCCAGTCCAAAGTTTTGCTGCCACACCATTCTGGATTTAGTTCAACAACAATCCAGCATGCTTGGTCACTGTACCTCCAGGTACTTCTCTGAGCCAGTCCCTGTTAAATCCTTCACAAGAGGAGGGAAAGGTTCAAATATATTACATACCTATTAACAGCATGACAATATTTTTTGTGCTTAAAAAACAGCGTCAGATACTTGAGATTACTTCAAATACAAATACTTTTAATTACAAGCTGCCTGGCAATAACTACATGTAAGGCCTGAACCACAGGAAGTGAAGACATTCTCTCTGCATAAACAACTAGATTATAATTAGTTCCCAGAAAACATATTTTTACAATAAACAGAAGTGCATAGTGAAACGTTTCAAGTGCAGCACTACTAATATCCAACCACCTTGATTTATTTCATACAAGTTTAGAGTGGCTTCAACTAAAGAGAAAGCAAAAAAAAAAAAAAAAGAAGAGAAAACTTCATAAGCCAAGGATCAAACAAAACAACCAGATAAAGAACTGCATCATCAAAAACAAACTAGAATGTTGAAAGAGTCGTGTGTCACAGAGTTCTTCCACCATGAAAGACTTCTTATTGAACAGATACCAGAAGTGTCAGCGGTCGGATCTCATTAGGTCTGTGTCACAGTTTGGGGGTTCTAACAGGACCAGACACCTTTGTCTTTGAATCAATCAGCGAGAGTCCAGCTGCTGCAGTCAGTCAGTGATGGGAGAGAGACTTTGTTCTTTTCATTGGATTTCTTTCTTCTTTTTTGTACTTGATGGCTAGTTAACGTCCTCCCATGTTATAGTGTCAAAACACTTTGTCGCTGCTCCGAGTAAAGACAATACAATCTGCCTTTRTCTAAGAAAAACATTACCTGAACTCTTTGATTTCTCTGTAATAAAATATTTTACATTTAGTTTGGAAGGTGGAGAGAAATACAGTGGGGAGAACAAGTATTTGATACACTGTTGATTTTTCAGGTTTTCCCACTTGCAAAGCTTGTAGATGACTGTAATTTTTATCATAGGTACTCTTCAACTGTGAGTGATGGAATCTAAAACAAAAATCCAAAAAAATACAATGTATGATTTTTAAATAATTAATTTCCATTTTATTGTGTGAAATAAGTATTTGATCATCTATCAACCAGTAAGAATTTTGGCTCTCACAGACATGTTAGTTCTTCTTCAAGAAGCCCTCCTGTTCTCCACTCATKACCTGTATTAACTGCACCTGTTTGAACTCGTTACCTGTATAAAAGACACCTGTCCACACACTCAATCAATCAGACTCCAGCATCTCCACAATGCCCAAGACCAGAGAGCTGTGTAAGGACATCAGGGATAAAATTGTAGACCTGCACAAGGCTGGGATGGGCTACAGGACAATAGACAAGCAGCTTGGTGAGAAGGCAACAACAGTTGGTGCAATTATTAGAAAATGGAAGAAATACAAAATAACGGAAAATCTCCCTCGGTCTGGGGCGCCATGCAAGATCTCACCTCGTGGAGCATCATTGATCTTGAGGAAGGTGAGGAATGAGCCCAGAACTACACGGCAGGACCTGGTCAATGACCTGAATAGAGCTGGGACCACAGTCTCAAAGAAAACAATCAGTAACACTCTACGCCATCAAGGATTAAAATCCTGCAGTGCACGCAAGGTGCCCTTCCTCAAGCCAACGCATGTCAAAGCCCGTCTGATGTTTGCAAATGACCATCTGAATGATAAAGAGGAGGAATGGGAGAAGGTCATGTGGTCTGATGAGACAAAAATATAACTTTTTGGTTTAAACTCCACTCGTCATGTTTGGAGGAAGAAGAATGATGAGTACAACCCCAAGAACACCATCCCAACYGTGAAGCATGGCGGTGGAAACATCATTCTTTGGGGATGCGTTTCTGCAAAGGGGACAGGACGACTGCACCATATTGTGGGAAGGATGGGTGGGGCCATGTATCGTGAGATTTTGGCCAACAACCTCCTTCCCTCAGTAAGAGCACTGAAGATGGGTCGTGGCTGGGTCTTCCAGCATGATAACGACCCAAAACACACAGCCAGGGCAACTAAAGAGTGGCTCCGTAGGAAACATCTTAAGGTCCTGGAGTGGCCTAGCCAGTCTCCAGACCTGAATCCAATAGAAAATCTTTGGAGGGAGCTTAAAGTCCATGTGGCCCAGCGACAGCCCCGAAACCTGAAGGCTCTGGAGGAGATCTGTATGGAGGAGTGGGCCAAAATCCCTGCTGCAGTGTGTGCAAACCTGGTCAAGAACTACAGGAAACGTCTGATCTCTGTAACTGCAAACAAAGGTTTCTGTACCAAATATTAAGTTTCATTTTTCTGGTGTATCAAATACTTATTTCACACAATAAAATGGAAATTAATTATTTAATAATCATACATTGTATTTTTCTGGATTTTTGTTTTAGATTCCATCACTCACAGTTGAAGAGTACCTATGACAAAAATTACAGTCTTCTACATGCTTTTCAAGTGGAAAAACCTGAAAAATCAACAGTGTATCAAATACTTGTTCTCCCCACTGTAACTGCTTTTGACAGATTGGAAAATTGCTTTCAATACCTGTAAAAAGCTGTCTCCACAGCACAAGAAGTCCTCTCTTTTCATGATCTTATCTGCTGTGAGGACGAGCTCGTTCTGACTGAGGGCAGGCTCGCTCTGACTCGGATAGACAGCCTGGGTGGGGCACAAACAGAAAATATCTATTGATCATATTCAGTTTAGTCAGCATAACAGTGTGCTGTTGAAAACAACGAYGACTTGAGTTACATACAATAATAATCTATTAAATATTAAATAAAACAGATTATTTCTTTACAAATGCAATGTGTCATTTATACAAATGTCTTATCAAAGTGCAGGAACACAACACAAATTTCCTTTTATTAAAAGCTTCTGTGATCATTTCCCACAGGACAGGATGACAAGTACTGACAGCTTAGAAAACACAGGTCATTTTATTTCTCATTAGTCAAAAGTTTTGATTCGTGTGTGTTTTAAATGCATACATTTGCTCTTTATTAACAATCACAACTTTTAATTGATTTTATTGAGGTATTTATATATTTATACAAAAACATAATTTTAATGCAGCCTTCATAATGTTTTCTTTAGTTACACTGAGCTGATGCTACACACAAAAAAATCCTTACATTTCCATTAAAGCACTTCACTAAACAGAAACAGGACTTGTTTCTATTTCTTATCATTTCAGCTTATTTCTAAGTCAGTTTTTTAGTATTTATATTCTGACTAAGTTCCAAGAGAGCTTCTTATAAAAACCAATTTTACTCTGCAATGACTTAATGACTTTCTAATTACAGAAAACCACCTCATTAATTTTTATAATTCAGTTTTTTTTATTGCAAGTAGCACAGTCTTAGCATATACAGTCAAATGAAAAGGTTTGGGCACCCTTGTTAATTTTCCTGATTTACCTTTATAAATTATTGATTGGAGTAAAAAAAAACAGTTAAATATATCAAATAGGGGACACAAACACAGTGACATTTGAGAAGTGAAATGAAGTTTATATGATTTACAGAAAGTGTGCGATTAACTGTTTAAACTAAATTAGGCAGGTGCATAGATTTGGGCACCGTTTTCCTTTTTATTGATTTCAAAACCTTTAGAACTAATTATTGGAACTTAAATTTGGTTTGGTAAGTTCAGTGACCCTTGACCTCCATACACATACCAATTATGAGAAAGGGTATTTAAGGGAGGCTATTGTAGGTTTTTTCCCTCTTTGCATCTTCTCTGAAGWGTGGTAGCATGGGAGTCTCAAAAGAACTTTCAAATGAGCTGAAAACAAAGATTGTTCACCGTCGTGGTTTAGGGGAAGGATACAGAAAGCTATCTCAGAGATTTCAGCTTTMAGTCTCCACTGTGAGAAACATTGTGAGAAAATGGAGGACCACAGGCACAGTTCAAGTGAAGGCTCCAAGTGGCAGACCAAGAAAAATGTGAGGTGAAGGATGTTGAGCAGTCAGAATCAAACCACAGACCAGCACCTAAGACCTACAACATCATCTTGCTGCTGATGGAGTCACTGTGCATCRTTCAACTATTCAGCACACTTTACACAAGGAGATGCTGTATGGGAGAGTGATGCAGAGGAAGCCTTTTCTCCGCCCACATCACAAACAGAGCTGCCTGAGGTATGCTAAAGCACATTTGGACAAGCCAGCTTCATTTTGGAATAAGGTGCTGTGGACTGRTGAAACTAAAATAGAGTTATTTGGGCAGAACAAGGGCCGTTATGCATGGAGGAAAAAGAACACAGCACTCCAAGAAAAACACCTTCTACCTACAGTAAAGTGTGGTGGTGGTTCCATCATGCTGTGGGGCTGTGTGGCCAGTACAGGGACTGGGAATCTTGTTAAAGTTGAGGGATGCATGGATTCCAACTRATATCAGCAGATTCTGGAGACCAATGTCCAGGAATCAGTGACAAAGCTGAAGCTGCTGAAGCCGGGGCTGCATCTTCCAACAAGACAACCACCATAAACACTGCTCAAAATCTACTAAGACATTCATGCAGAGGAACAAACGTTCTGGAATGGCCAWCTCAGTCCCCAGACCTGAATATTATTGAAAATCTGTGGTGTCACTTAAAGAAAGCTGCCCATTCTCAGAAAACATCAAACCTGAATGAAATAGAGATGTTTTGTAAAGAAGTGTGGTCTAAAATACCTTCAGCCACAATCCAGATTCTCATTAGAAGCTATAGGAAGTGTTTAGAGGCTGTTATTTCTATGAAAGGAGGATCTACTAAATATTGAGATAAGGTTTTTTTTATGGTGCCCAAATTTATGCACCTGCCTAATTTTATCTAAATAATTATTGCACACTTCCTGTAAATCATATAAACTTCATTTCACTTCTCAAATATCACTGTTTGTCCCCTATATGATATATTTAACTGATTTTTTATCCAAATAATCAATGATTTATAAAGGTAAATCAGGAAAATTAACAAGGGTGCCCAAACTTTTTCACATGACTGTAAAATGTGCTTTATTCAGCAAGTTCATTAAATACAAATATAGAGATATTGATATACAGTATAAAGAGAAAAATAGGTCAGGATAATGACTAGGGTGGAGAAAGGAAATAGCAACATGGTTCTTGTGGCTTTGTAGAGAGACATAATGAAGGACTGTGGATGGAATATGTACTTGTGAAAAGACAGGGAAGAGTCTGTGTGTAAAAACAAAAAAACTTCCACAGGGCACAGATCAACAAGTTGACAGAACTCACCCTTATGTTGTCCAGGACTCTCTTAAACTCCAGCGGCTCATCCTTTCCTTCCATTGCAGCGGGGTCCAGACCATCGCCGCCATAAATAAACTGGATGATGTCACCGGTGGAGCTGCGAACCGTCAAGTCGTACTGCGAGCACAAATCTTCCAGCGACTTCACCAGACGCCTCTGTCCAGACATCAACAGGAAGACAAAACCGTTCAACTTAAAACAGAAGTTAGGCTCACTTATTTATGTGACTGAGCTACATTGTTTTTGCTTTTTAATTTGTTTGTGCAGAAGCTTCAAATTAAGGAGAAAAAAATGCAGCCATGAAAACGAGAGGTCATTTTCTTTTGAATAATTTATTATATGAAGAATGAATACAAAAAAAGGAAGGTTCATTCTGAATATTCAAATATTTATGAATGTCTGATTAAAGACGTTCCCTGGCATAAACTGGTCAAACCCGGTAGCCTGGTCTTTTATTTTAGATCAGGATATTCAACTAAATTGGTTCTGGGGTCACAGTTAATGCAGGCTAACAGCACAGGGGCCGAACATCCAGCAATTAAAGTTATTATGTAAATAAACCAAAATTACAAAGATCTATTACCTTTGAAATAGTTCTTTTTGCTGCATTTAATCATGAATACAACATACAAAACCCTATGTAATAAAAGTAGTGAGAAAAAAAAACAATATTAAAAACAAAAACAACATATTAGGCCTCATATTTAACACAAAAATTATTTTGACATCTCTGACTTGCCAAATCTTTTATTTTCACTCTCAGTTTTATCTTCAACTACTCATAGTTTTAACTGTCTTGGATGTTCACAGAAATGGGTTTTTACCAGCTTTTAGCCATGTTTGATGTTTCTGTAGATACCACACATGTCTATGTTTAACTAAAATAACTTAGAGTAATTAAAGTAGAAAACTGGGGATTTGAGCTTAAGAGATGAATGAACCAAGTAGCGGGTCGAACTTTGGTCCCTCGAAGGCCAGTTGTGGCCGCCAGTTGAAAAGCCTGTTTTAGATTTTTTGTTCCAAATTTGTTATAATTTTCAATAAGAAAAACAGAAAAAAAAAAAACAAGATGTTTTCATTTATTTATCGGACATCTGAGTGAAAACTAAACTACGGAGCGGGACTGGTGAAATCTAATGGCATTACCTGCATGTATCCAGTCTCTGCAGTTTTCACTGCAGTATCCACCAGACCCTCTCGCCCAGCCATGGTGTGAAAGAAGAACTCTGTGGGTGTCAGACCAGAATAGAAGCTGTCGGCCACAAAGCCTTTAGCAGCAGGCAGCTTGGGGGAAAAAAATAAATAAATCATTATCCAGTCATCAAGCAAGCTCTTAAGTATTCTGGAAATGTCAACAACAYTATTATCCTCTGTCCATCTTTGTTTCATTTATTATTCTTTTCCACATAATCATTTAACAAAAGACAAGAATGAGCACAAACACAAAGACGATTGTGATCATTTTTATATATTATGCAGATTATCACTGTCTGAGCATACTGACGACTGAAAATGAGCACTTCTGAGCTCAGTTTGAGACTGGAATCTGATGCACTGTGGTTCCAATCAAGCAATTACTGACTGTGYCTTTAACAAGTTCCTCCCATTTACATAAAGCTGGTGAAGTCTCAACAAACAAGTTCAGATGTGGGACTAGATTCAGAACTAAACAAGTAATTCAGTAAAATGAATGATGTGTCTTACTTTTGAGTGTTTTTCAAAGTGAGGCAAGGAGCGGTTCTCAAAACCATCAGGGACTCGAGAGCCACTTATGGCCTGCTGGCCCACACAGGCGATCATCTGCGAGATGTTAATGAAGGATCCTGAATGCAGKAAGTGGACACAATGTATGAGCAACAAAATAATGTAATAAAAGAAACAGCATAAAGGCTTTCCTATTTTCTATGCATCTAGGGAAAAGGAGCAAAGATTTGATCAGGTTTTAAATAAAAATGTTGAAATTATCTTTTTTGTGGGCTTTTTTTAATAGCAACATGCTGCAGAAAGCTGTCATTGAAACAGAGAAAAACCAAAATCACAAGGATGGGAATTTTTTCAAGTAAAAACAAGGAAAATACTTTTCATTAGGGCTGGACAATAAATCAATAACAATATATATTTTGATAAGACATACAATCAATATCAAAAGGAAAAACAGAAAGAATGCTGATAATTTCACTAAACTCTGATCCAGAACCGCTCAGCATTTTGGGRGATGTAGGCAAAGGAAAGGCTTAAACCGCTTGACCTCTCATGACCCAGCTAAGCAAGGTTGGTGGCATCAACTAACTCCCTCAGTCGTTTGGTAAGCTGCAACAATCTGCTGAATAATGGGACAACAGCAACAATTTTCTCTGGAGCTGTTGCTCCAGAGAAAATTGTGGATAAAAGAGGAGAGGTCACCAGTTTGGCAGTATTAATCAGCCTTTTAACTCCTGGTCTTTACTYCAAATAGGTAAAACAAACAAAAAATAATAATCAATATTTATCATTATCGCYTGATATGAAACAATTAAACTGTGAAACATTTTTCAACAATATTGCTCAGTCCAAAGATACGTTGTTTTTCTTAAATAGGGCTGTGTATTGGCAAGAATTTGGCAATACGATACATATCATGACAGACGGGTCACGATACGATACATCCCGATATATTGCGATACTGTAAGCAAGGTGATATATTGCAATATATTGTGATTGTTTTGTACAAATATTCTATTAAATAAAATCTTCTTACTGGGGAAAAAA